GTTTTATTCACTGTACCATCCTCATTGGAAAAACGTTTCTGTCTGTTAAGCCAACATAATTGAGTACTTCAGGCTGCGTTTCATATGTAATAAAAATTTATAGTAGATTGGAAGAATATGACACAAAGTTAGCATATTTACATAACAAACCCAACACCTAATATTGGAAGGTTTTAGGTCAAGATTGCATTTTAATAATTCTCTTCTGTGATAATATATATTATCAGTGATCCTCTTCTGTTAATAAAAAAAAAATGCTATTTTCTAGTGAGATTTATGTTTTTTGGATTTTGATAGCTAGGTTTAACCCGGAAGTTATATTTTATTATTCACAACTCTCATTTTGATTTCACCGCTCCATAGATGAAAAGAAAAGATATTGGTATCAACAAAGTATATGATGCCCGTGCGCTGAGGGTTATTGTTGGAGATAAGAACGGGACTTTGCATGGACAGGCAGTTCAGTGTTGTTACAATCTCCTTAATATTATACACCGGTACGTGAATCAGAAATTTTATGATCCATCTGGCTTTACCTTCCATCTAGTTGAATTGATAATGGGATCAACAGTGATACCAACTTGGTAATGAATGATTTTACTCTTTGCAGACTTTGGACCCCTATTGATGGTGAATTTGACGATTACATTGTTAACCCCAAACCAAGTGGCTACCAGGTCAAAATATTATCATTATTCTTGCACTCTTGCATTGTGTTTTTACGCAAGTTTTTCGAGCAAAATATTATTCTGATTTGTCTCCCAATTCTAATTCCTTTCCATGATCTCAGTCACTGCATACTGCAGTACAAGGTCCTGACAACTCTCCTATAGAAATTCAAATACGAACACAGGTATATAATGCCTCAAAATTAGTATAAGCAGTGAAAGTTTTACGTTTCTGGATCTTAAATTGTAAATTAATTTGAAAACAATCTTGAATTTTTAGAGGATGCATGAATATGCCGAACACGGACTTGCTGCACACTGGCTTTACAAGGAAACCGAGAATCTATTGCCCTCCAAGAACAGTGTGGTTGATTCTGAAATAATGGTTTCCCCAGATTTCCCAAACCAAATAGAAGACCAAGATTCTGTTGAGAATGATCCGTTCATAAAATATAGAGCACTGAAATCTGGACATCCAGTTCTCAGAGTGGAAGCAGGTCACTTGCTTGCTGCAGTTATTGTCAGGTAACAAATCAAAAATTTATCTGCCGTGATCATAATTTTAACCTTCGCTGAGTTTTACGTTTAAGTTTGATTTTCTAGAGTTGACAACGAGGGAAGGGAATTGCTTGTCGCTGTAAGCTTCGGACTAGCAGCTTCTGAGGCAGTAGCTGACAGAAGATCTTCTTACCAAATAAAAAGATGGGAAGTTTATGCGAGTATATATAAGAAGGTATTAGCAGTTCTCTATTTTCTCTTTTAATAGAGAGAAGGTTTCAGAACTAACCAGGAGAAAGCTTGATTAAATGAAAAGTTTATCCATTATCGTTTTTGCAAAGCTTAAAAAGAAATATTGTGCAATTCTTTCTGAACTTTGTTGATTGAAGATAACAAATGTTAAGTAATGAAAAGAATGAGTCTGAATACGCTGCAGCCTGCAAGTAATAAAACCCTCATAAATGAATCCTAATTGAAAATAAAAGAACAAACAGTATACATTTTCTGTTAGTGTACTGTGATTGAAGTGGTGGAAAAGTCAAAACATGATATTCCTGACAAAAACATGATTTTCCAGACAATGTCCCTGTTTAATGGATATGACAGAGGCCTTCTAAGCCTTTGGTGTAGGTTTAGTGGACGCAATTTATGCCTTAGTATTTTTATTTCAGAAGTTTCTTTTGTTTGTTTCTTTAGGGGTTACAAATGATATGATGGACCAACTCCCCTTTTTTATCCAGCATATAAAATAGGTTTCTTATTTTGTATTTTTTTTAAGTGAAAAAAATAAATAAGAAAAGAAACAATTTTGCTCATCACTACATTCCATTCGGCTGATAGAATTTGAATTATCTGAAATTTTTTGGAGAAATCCTTTAGAATGGTAGATATGAATGATTTTGTTTGTTCTTTATTATTTGTCTATCTGCCAAAATGGGTTTTAGGTTTCCGATGAGTGGTGGTGTGAACCAGGACATGGGGATTGGTGTACCTGCTTGGAAAAGTATACCCTTTGTCGAGATGGTATATACCACAAGGTATGTTTGCCACCCTTCTCATTTTTCACATGCTTTCTTTTCCTGTGTTCGTGTTGTACTCTTTTTCTTCTTCTCTTGGCATTGTCATATTATGCTGGCTGCTTCAAGAAATGCACTCAGATTATTATTGCTCCACAGCAAGATCAATTTCAGCGACTATTGCCAACATTTATCCAAATCATCGAGTTGACAGAACAGGAAGAAACTGAATACTGGTGTGTTGTCTCGGCTGTTTTTGAGGGCAAAACTATTACTTCTGATGTATCTAACTCAATTTATGAGGAGAGGTCTAGTTTCAACTCTAATTCAACTCTGGTGGACACTGGCATCAACCATAAGGTATACTCAGGGTTAACTCACGCTATTGAAGTTCATTCCTTGAGTACTTAATGATGATAAATCATTCTACGCATCCTCACTAAGTAAAGTTGTTAGGAGTTGAATTAGCTGGAAATTATATTGGCTGGATTTCTTTTGAGCATTAACAAGATGTCTTACTTGAAGGATTGAAGCTTCAACTTTGCTGTCATCTGCAATAACAGGCGATCATGGCTGTCTGTAAAAATTATACTTACTCCATCCCACAACGACGGGCTTACTTTCATTTTCGCACATTAAGAAAATATAATTAATATAGTTTGAACAATAAAATTTTACTTGCATATTTCCTAATATACTCCTATATTGAATAATGATTTAAATAGGAGTAGTTCATTTTTGTAGATAACAAAGCACGTTGCATAGGGACATATTAGAAAATTAAAAAATCAATTACACTGTTAACTGAGTAAGTGGTCTATAATTTGGAACAAACAAAAATAAAAAGAAGCCTATCTTTATGGGACGGAGAGAGTATTAGGATTTTAAATATTATTACCATCAAGGACACCAAATATTTTATTTTGCTCAATATGATTGTGCATTTAAATAATCACTTATCAATGTGAGAGCTAGATTTGCTCTTGGAACATTGATTTTGTTGATACATTGGTAATAACTCCCAAGGCAAAATGTATTGGATGAGAAATTTAATTAAAAGTTGAGAAGAATCAATCAATGAAGAGATCAAAAACTTATTTTTAACTTCAACCAATCGAAAAGGTATTTCTCAAACCCATACTCACTGATAAGAAATTCTTTGAGTTCTGAGTTTTAATTTTCCGGTGGATGATAGGTGCAGCTGCTGAGGACAATGCTTCAATGGGAAGAGCAACTGCGCTCCGAAGCTGGGCATCGACAACTTAACCTTGGTGCAAAGAAGTATGTGAATGGAGACTCTGTTTCTCTTGACGAAGTGGCGATCTTATGTTGGCCCCATGGGGAGATAATGCGATTGAGAACTGGTAGCACGGCTGCTGATGCTGCTAGAAGGATAGGACTTGATGGAAAACTGGTTTCAGTAAATGGGCAGCTGGTATTGCCCAACACAGAGCTCAGGGATGGTGACGTAGTCGAGGTAAGAATGTAAAGAATCTCATATGAATATATGGGTAGAGAGAAAAAAAAAGTTCAAAAAGTATAGACAACAAAATGTGGTGGATCGAGATCAATTTCAGATGGCTTTTGAATTTAGCCATCTATTGGCAATGTTTCATTAGTCAAGAGTCAGGTAGAATGATGCTTGGCCAGCATTCATTTATTTGTAATCGGCCGAGTTAGGCTGTTGCTGTAAATAATTTAATCATTTGATATTATGTGAATTCTTGTTGAAAGTTCTGTTGCACAGGATATTGTGTGCAACAAATTATTGAGTATGAGAAAGCTTGAAATGGAGAATTATCAATCTTACTTCAAACTATAAAACCTGTGGATTTTTTACACGTTCCTTTGGGCACAAATAATTCGTATCTTCACAGACACGTCCTACTGTACTTTTAGCCTCCTTTCGAGCGGGAGACTAATAAAGTGTGAGATTGTTGTCATACAAGCTGGAATTTACCTAACAAGTAATTTGGCAGTCTGATAACTAACAACATTCGAAGGAACTTTTGTTGCTTGCTTTCTGTATTAGTTTACTGCGCTCAATATTTGTTTCATNTGTTGCTGTAAATAATTTAATCATTTGATATTATGTGAATTCTTGTTGAAAGTTCTGTTGCACAGGATATTGTGTGCAACAAAATATTGAGTATGAGAAAGCTTGAAATGGAGAATTATCAATCTTACTTCAAACTATAAAACCTGTGGATTTTTTACACGTTCCTTTGGGCACAAATAATTCGTATCTTCACAGACACGTCCTATTGTACTTTTAGCCTCCTTTCGAGCGGGAGACTAATAAAGTGTGAGATTGTTGTCATACAAGCTGGAATTTACCTAACAAGTAATTTAGCAGTCTGATAACTAACAACATTCGAAGGAACTTTTGTTGCTTGCTTTCTGTATTAGTTTACTGCGCTCAATATTTGTTTCATTTTAGTAAATAAAAAGCAACTTCGAGAATGATAGAACCTTTTCGTACTAAATTCTAGTTGAACTGTTGAAATTGGTAAGATCGTTTTGATCGATGCCCAGAGTACTATATTTTCATACTAAATAGCAAATTTCAGATAAAGCCGGTCGTTTTCAGAGCAGATGTAAATACTGAAGATTCGATAATTCCTTTAAAACTTGTGATCGTTCTAGCATGTGTAGATAGATGGTCATTTGTAAGCAAGCAACGGTCATCAGTTGTGAAATCGCGTGTGAAACAATTTAGAAGAAATGGTGAAAAAGCTGAAAGATAACTGTTTAATATCATTCAGAGGTAATGATAGAACTCAAGTTTGAAGAGCAAATATCAGCTAATGATAGAGCTCAAGTTTGAAGAGCAAATATCAGCTACTTATTACAATACTCAGGAGGGAAAAAAAAAAAAAAAAAATCAAGTTTTTTTCATCTTATAGCTGGAGCAAACCAAGAAAGTTCAAAACTCCGTACTATAAAGTTTGAAGGGCATTCTGATTCAGTTCTGGGCTTCATCCACCAATTGGTTCTCTGGAAGTGCTTGAAGAGCTGGCCGCAATGTTGCTGTTGCTGCCTGCTTTGTCAAACAATGAAAGATTAAGTGCGTGTTGGTACACAGACTCTAATAACACAGGAACAAGAAAAGAATCAAGGGATCACCTTGGGGTCGTTCTCATTTTTGCTCAACTGATTCGTTATCTGCAGTTTCTCTTTGAACATCTTCGTCAATTTTCTCAGACTTAATTCATGCAAATTCTGTTCAGTAGTGGTGGTGCCTTTAGCTCTCTTTACCTTCTCCTTGCTGAGAAGAATCATTTTTTTGCCACTGTCAAGATTCTCTTTGTTATCTGTAGCATCAGTCATTTTTTTATTCGTCGTTGGTGTCTTGCTTGGAGTCTTCACCTTCTCCTTCGTGAAAATAAAAAATTTACTGCCACTGCCAATGTTCTCTTTATTATCCAAAACATCAGGCACTTTTTTCGTCGTTTTAGGTGTCTTCTTGATCGGCGTCTTCGTTGGCGTAAGACTGGTAGATTGAACTTCCTCTGTGGGATCAGCAGTTGGGATTAGAGTCAACAAAGCCAAAGGAACATCAGTTGCACCCTCTATAGCTTCTTGATCACTCTCTTGCTTGCTTTGCTCAAATTCAAGAATTTCAATTGACTCAAGCCTCTCCCCTATCTGTTTAGGGAAAGTCGAATCATCAATTACATCTAAATTAGCTTCTATCTCATCACTTGATATTTCTCCAAGGGACTCTTCAGAAGCTATAGACACTTGATCAGCATCTTGCTCACTTTGTTCGTGTTGAAGAATTTCTGTCGAGTTGAGCTCCTCCCCATTATCAATCATCTGTTTGAGGAATGTCGAATCATCAGTGAGCTCGAAATCAGCTTCTGAATCATTGGGAGCGAGCCCCATTTTAACATCTTTCACCAAATCAATCCCACTGCCTTCACCCACAATATCAGCAGCAGGTGTTTCCATATACTTTTCGTCCTTCAGTTCCTTATCAGACTCCTTTTTGGAATCAACATCACAACATTTTTCATTGACTAAGCCGTCTGGGGAAACTTGGAAATCCATATCTTCCGCATTCTCAGTTTCTTTCTCTGTTGAATTTTGACTCTTGGTATCGCAAGAAATTTCATCATCTGCAAATCATCCAAATGTACAGAAGGCAACAAAAAATCAATTTCATAATGATAGAGATGAATTCAACAAAGCATAAAAGACACAGCCCATGCACAAAAGGATACCTTTATCTTCGAGGCCATCATCCACATTATCATCAGCCTCAGATTTCGATTTGACACCATAGTCAAGTGCATTCTCAGCCTTAGAAATACACGTATTATGAGACCCTACATTACAAATATGATAAAATTACTACATGTCACATAGAATTGTTAACTACTCTGATACTATTAAGCTTTGGAATCGTATATTTCTTATATAGTTGAATTTTCAAGTATCATAAAGTAAAATGAACAACATATTGTATGTAAGCATACCATCATTTTCTTGGATTTCATTGACCAAGTCTAATTGATTTTCCATGTTTTTGCTACCACCCTCCATCGAAAATTTTGGATCCTCGACTTCAGAAATCGTTTCCCTATCCGAATTATCCTGTGTCATTGTTTTCGTATCAATACCTGCAATCGTAGATAGTTATTGATGATTTAGAAAACAAATCTTGAGGTTATAAAAGGCAGTTGATTCTTGAACAAGTTGAGAAAAATACCATCTGATCCCTGTGTCAGATTCACATTCAAATTATCACCCATTTCCTTGGCAAACAATTCTTGCTTAAGAGTTTCTAATTTTTCTTCATTGTTGGACTTCTGTATCTCCACACTTTTCTCAGCCAACCTTACCGATCTGCGCGTGCTATACACCTTTTTCACTGTACTCTCTTCTTCCTTTAGCTTTCTCCGGCTAGTAGTCCCTAATGGAGCAGGGGTCGGTGGTAGGGTCTTTTTTTCTTTTCCAATTTCCTCCTCTTCGAATTGAGCCTCCACTTTTCTCCTCACCATTGACACCTGTGCCCTCCTTCTAGTGGTCGCTGCCAATGCCGGAGTTTCAATTGCAACCCCCTTTTCACCTTCTTCTCCGACAACTGTCTTTCTTGTTGAACGCCGTGTAGTTGTCCTTGACGGCAAAGTTTCAGACTCCTCTTTAACAGCATTTCTCCGACGTGTACTCCTCCCAACGGTGGAAAGCGCACATGGAGATGTTTCTTCTGACTTCACCGGTGACTCAATTGATGATTGAGCGGTTTCCGATTCCATTGGTTTCAAATAATCTTCAATCCCTTCAACCTATCATGCCAATTATTTACAGCTTTTTCAATCAAAATACTACGTATATCAATTTGAGATTTCAAAGATCACGCCCCCTTCGGGATTTCTATTGAAATAGAGTAATCACAAGATCTGGAGATCTTTAAGATTAATACAGTGCAACAACAAATGACAATCACGAATAATTTTGAGGTTTCTTTGCCATTCAAAAAAACAAACTCCCTTCGGGCTTTCTATTGTAATAGATTAATTAAAACAATCATATTTGAAAATACCAAGATCTGAAGAATCTTCAAGGTTAATACAGTGCTTCAACGTTACCAATTTTTTGGGGTCTACTACATGAATATTTCTTCCCCGTTCTATTCAATTCTATATCAACTGGGAGATATAAAGCAATTGATTCTTAACAATTAACACATGCAGGAATTAATACAGTACAATTAAAAAAAATGCAAACAAATATGACACGAGATCAAGAAATCAAAGATTCAGAAATCCCAGAATACTTACGATCTCAAGAGCTTTGAGAGCATCTGCCATGGCGACATTAGTCATGTTAGCCGGGATCTTGTTCTTCTTGCACAGTTCCTGGAGTTCTCTTCTTTTAAGGCTGTGGAAATCCATTGCTAAGCGATTCAAATTGAAAATTTCTTGCAAATTTGTGAAGATTTTCTCGTAGAGAGAGAGACTGTTTTGTTATGGGTTTTCCTCGGAATGAAGAATGGAGCGGCTATGAAGGATTGAGGGGTATATATACGCGTGTAGCTTGTCCAGGAAACGTCTGGAAATTTGACCGTTGGATGGCAGATTTGAAATTTGAATTTATTTACCGTTTTTTGTTTCTTTGAAAGAAGTTGACGGCGCAGATTGATGGTTTGGGAAATATGGACCGTTGTTTTATTGGGCCGGGTCGAGGCAGACTTAGGGTTTGATTTGGTATTGTGCTTGATTATTAGGCCAATGAAGTTGTTTGGATATGCAAAATTCATGATAATATTTAGTGGAAAAATTTATAAACAAGATATTAAGTATGACACATTTTAAAATTAAGAAACAAGGTTTAAAATTTCAAAAATTATATATTTTTAAAAATTTTATTTATAAACTAATTAATTAAACATATATTTTATTAATTAAATATATTAAGGTCACAATTCATCAATCACAAATTTATCAAGTTAATAGGTGACATATTATTAATTGATCACAAATCACAAATTTTACAAATCACAACTTATTTTATGGTCGCAAGATATCTAATTAATTAGTTTCAAATTAATTTACGATCATAACTTATTTCTCGATCACAAATAAAATTTTCTATAGGTTACATCAAAACTTTTATCGATCACATGTTATTTTTTAGTCACAAGATATCTTAATTATTGGTCACAAAACCGTCAAATCCACTGCCACAGATCCACTAGCAATCTAACAAAAATCACCGCTATTACTAGATCTACTAATAGTGCCGTCGCCGTTGCCACTACTCCAAAAATCCCAAAAACAACAAGCACCCAACACCACCGCACCGCTACCAAAAACATCACACAGGATTCTCCTACTACATCACCTTCAGCTACCATCGAAAAAGCTCCAAAATCTCTTGCAATTTCATTATCCTCCACCAATACTCTACTTAAACCACAAAACATTCACCGCCCACCTCGACAATTCTCAAACCGTATTCTTCCTCTGTAAATTTCATATATTAGATCATTTAGGAAAAATAAAAAAAAACTACGGTGACGATGGTCTGAGTTTGTGTTGATGACCAATCAAATCTGCAACAAAGAGAGAATTCTCGTCGATAGCTACACACGGCACTCACCACTCCTTTTTCTTTTCGACGGCCTTCCATCTCGTCCCCGGTGTTTTTGTAGGCGACTACTATGGGGTAAAGAGGAGAGGTAAGAGTAAAGAGAGAATAGATTGAGAAGATGAAGAAAGAGAGAAATGGTTTTAGGATTTAGGAAGAAAAAAGAGGTGGGTATGGAGAGATATAGAAAGAAAGAGAGGGAAAATTAATTAGAATTTAGGATGAAAATTGTATATTTAACATTTAATATTTAAATATGAAATATCTTATTTGTGAATAACGTAACCATAACCTCCTCCCTCTTTTTAAAATAATAATCGTTAAAAATAGGGTGTGGTGTAATTTCCACAATATTTAGAGCATGTTTGGTTGAGCTTGAAAATTTTACTTATAAGTAAATATGTGAATTGCAATAAATAATTTCTTTTGTCAATTAAGAATGAATGGATTCTCTCTTTTATAAAGAAGTTATCTTAGAATGAACGTGAATTCAATTCATCAATTTCTTTGCACCTTTTTAACCTTCCTTCCTACTTCGACGGCAGAAAGAAATTTTACTCACTTGTTTTTTTGGTTATAAATTAATTCGTCATTAATTAGAGAACTTTACAAATTTAGACCATCTCCAACGAACTCTTTAAATATAATATGCTCTTTATTTTAAAAAATCAATCCCTAAAATCATGTTTCAAGATACTGTTTAAATTAATATTTTAATTTAGAAAGTTGGTTTGACTCTCAAAATTTAGATAGCCAAACTCACTCCATAAGTCCCTATAATTAAATGCATTCAAAATGTTTCAATTTTTAATGTAAAAAATAATAAAATAATCTAGAGAAAACCTAGTTAATATAAAAGATATAAAAAAATAATAAACAATTTTTTGGAAAATTAAGTGTTAAATATAAAGAGTTTGTTAAAGTCAGTGGCAGATCTAGGTAGTGGCGAGCTAGGACGGTAGCCCTAGTTGGATCTATCGAAAACCCTTTTTTTGGTTGACAATAGATTAAGGTTTTAGGGTATATAATTGATAATTCCTTCATCTTCCAAGTTCTCCTTCTAATTGAAGTGGTTAGAGCTTATATTTACATTTTGTAAGTCCCGGTTTCGATTCTCTTCACAGCCCATTCATTGTACAATTTTTTTAGTTTACAACAACTACCAAAATTAACGCAATAACAAAGAGTTGGATATGAGTCAAACCTTGAACCTCCATTATAATCATTGAAAGCCTGACCACTGTGACAACTATTGCTTTCGATACTTAATTCAACAAAATAATATTTACTACATTTATTGGGTTTAATAAAATTATAAAGATTCAAAATCATGCTTTTCCTTTAAATTATACGATACTTGACAATAATTTCATTTGGTGAATAAACGGTTTACTCTTATAACAGAATTATATATGAACAAAATAATTGTTATATTTAAATTTTATGCCTTGTTTTATTTTCAAAATACATTTTTATCTATCTTATTTTTAACCATACATTCTTCAATAAAATAATATTACACGCAAATTCAAAACATTTTTCTTATTTTTGACCTCACATTCTCCATGAAATCATTATTTCAAAATGCATTTTTTTGTTAAAAAAAAAATAAAGGACATCAAACGGGCTCTTAATACTTTATTGCGGCTGATAGTCGAAAATCAACGACTGCCCGTGCTGATTCGAAATTCTAGATTCGTCACTGGTTAGTGTACTTTAAGATTTTAACTCTCTAAATGATAAAACGTGCTCTTTAATAATAGAGAGTTTCTTGGATATACTTTTATAAACTAATCAAATGAAATTAATTTGCACTAAAATTACTTAATTTGTACAAATTTTTCCTTGAGTTACTCCTCCTTTTTGAAATTTTTTTTTTTAGTCACAAGATATCTTAATTATTGGTCACAAAACCGTCAAATCCACTGCCACAGATCCACTAGCAATCTAACAAAAATCATCGCTATTACTAGATCTACTAATAGTGCCGTAGCCATCGCCACTACTCCAAATATCCCAAAAACAACAAGCACCCAACACCACCGCACCTCTACCAAAAACATCACACAAGATTCTCCTACTACATCACCTTCAGCTTCCATCGAAAAAGCTCCAAAATCTCTTGCAATTTCATTATCCTCCACCAATAACATTCACCGCCCACCTCGACGATTCTCAAACCGTATTCTTCCTCTGTAAATTTCATAGATTAGATCATTTAGGGAAAAAAAAAACTACGGTGACGATGGTCTGAGTTTGTGTTGATGACCAATCAAATCTGCAACAAATAGAAAGAATTCTCGTCGACAGCTACACGCGGCACTGCATCACCACTCCTTTTTCTTTTCGACGACCTTCCATCTCTTCTCCAATGTTTTTGTAGGCGACTACTATGAGGTAAAGAGGAGAGGTAAGAGTAAAGAGAGAATAGATTGAGAAGATGAAGAAAGAGAGAAATGGTTTTAGGATTTAGGAAGAAAAAAGAGGTGGGTATGGAGAGATATAGAAAGAAAGGGAGGGAAAATTAATTAGAATTTGGGATGAAAATTGTATATTTAACATTTAATATTTAAATATGAAATATCTTATTTGTGAATAACGTAACCATAACCTCCTCCCTCTTTTTAGAATAATAATCGTTAAAAATAGGGTGTGATGTAATTTCCACAATATTTAGAGCATGTTTGGCTGAGCTTGGAAATTTTACTTATAAGTAAATATGTGAATTGCAATAAATAATTTCTTTTGTCAATTAAGAATGAATGAATTCTCTCTTTTATAAAGAAGTTATTTTAGAATGAACGTGAATTCAATTCATCAATTTCTTTGCACCTTTTTAACCTTCCTTCCTACTTCGACAGCAAAAAGAAATTTTACTCACTTTTTTTTGGTTATAAACTAATTCGTCATTAATTAGAGAACTTTACAAATTTAGAACACCTCCAACAAACTCTTTAAATATAATATGCTCTTTATTTTAAAAAATCAATCCCTAAAATCATGTTTCAAGATACTGTTTAAATTAATATTTTAATTTAGAAAGTTGGTTTGACTCCCAAAATTTAGATAGCCAAACTCACTCCATAAGTCCCTATAATTAAATGCATTCAAAATGTTTCAATTTTCAATGTAGAAAAATAATAAAATAATCTAGAGAAAACCTAGTTAATATAAAAGATATAGAAAAATAATAAACAATTTTTTGGAAAATTAAGTGTTAATTATAAAGAGTTTGTTAAAGTCAGTGGCGGATTTAGATGGTGGCGAGCTAGGACGGCCGCCCTAGTTGGATCTGTCGGAAACCCTTTTTTTGGTTGACAATAAATTAAGGTTTTAGGTTATATAACTGATAATTCCTTCTTCTTCCAAGTTCTCCTTCTAACTGAAGTGGTTAGAGCTATATTTACATTTTGCAAGCCTCGGTTTCGATTCTCTTCACACCCATTCATTGTACAATTTTTTTTAGTTTACAACAACTACCAAAATTAATGCAATAACAAAGAGTTGGATATGATTCGAAACTTGAACCTCTATTATAATCATTAAAAGCCTAACAACTGTGGCAACTATTGCTTTTGGCACTTAATTCAACAAAATAATATTTATTACATTTATTGGGTTTAATAAAATTATAAAGATTCAAAATCATGCTCTTCCTTTAAATTATACGATACTTGGCAATAATGTCATTTGGTGAATATACGGTTTACTCTTATAACAGAATTATATATGTTCAATATGAACAAAATAATTGTTATATTTAAATTTTATGCCTTGTTTTATTTTCAAAATACATTTTTATCTATCTTATTTTTAACCATATATTTTTCAATAAAATAATATTATACGCAAATTCAAAACATTTTTCTTATTTTTGACCTCACGTTCTCCATGAAATCATTATTTCAAAA